TCCACAGTTCTGTGCTACTCAGATGCCCGAGGGCTGTTGGCATCAGTGCTGGGATCTTTCAAATGTTGGTCTCAACAATGGTGTGCAACTGCAGGGTCTGAGAACCAAGGGGACCAACAGTGGAAATAATAATATATTTTAAAAGTCTTTGCAAGAATTGCAAAACTTGATGAAAAGAAGAAAAACCTACCTTTGCTATAAACTATTGGGCTTTGTTTGTATTGTTTTGGTTTGTTTGCCTGCTTGTTTTTATGTCAATTCAGTGGGATAGACTAGATGATTTCCATCATGGAAAAGAGGAGTTATGTGTTTACATTATTCTTGTTCTCTTTGTACTCCATGAGTTCTCATAACATAATAAATTTAGGAAAGAGAACATAGATGGCTTAAAAATAAGACTTTTTAGTAAGCTGTTGGTCAATTTGCTCAAGTTGCAAGAGGAAAGAGAATTTGGAATATGTGGTGATTAGGAGGAAATGTCTGCCGAGGAAAACCAGAGGTCTGAAGAGTGTTAATTATTTTGCAGCCCATTGTAATATTGCTTTTACAGACCTTTTTCTCTCTTCCTCTGGTTTTGGTAGGTCTTTTTCCTTCCTTTAGTTAAGGGCACCTAGCCCACTATTTTACCACAAAAGGACATCCAGGGGAAAAGAAGAGTGGGATGTGCTTTTGCAGTATTTTTTCTGATGCTCTCAGATCTTCATTAGTTTTCCCCTTGGTAAACCTCTGAAGTTGTTATACATTGTCTGTCTGGTAGCACTGCTAAATTTCTCTTCAAAATGATTGTCTGGTCTCCCCTTGAAGCCATTTCTTGTATCAAAAATAACCTTTGGCAAGGAATTTCCCAGATTTACGGCTCAGCACAACAGGGCTGAAATCAATGCTGTTGCAATTGGCCTCAATCTATTGAGTTTAGTGGAAAGACACCATTTTACTAAAGCAAAATATCATCTGTTACAGCAACACCGTGAGTTTCATCAAACATATATGCCCACTGTATGAAGTCATCTATTTTAATGTTTGTTTTTTTTTAATTATAAATTAAATAGCTACTGGCTGTAAATAGGAAAACATGCTGAAACAAAAAACCAAATTTGATCCAATATTTAAGGCAATGTTTGATTGATAGATAATCTTCCAAAATCTTCAAAAATTTCATGTGGTTTTTTTGTTACAGCATAACTGAGTTTTAGGGACTTAGTGCTTGTCTAAAAATTAAGTGTATTTGCAGTCTTGATATTTAGGGAATGTGCTCCTTTTTTGCTTCTCTCTGTGATGCTTCCCTTTCCTTCCTCTTTACTTAGGAAGAATAGAGGGTAGTGCTGGATGTATTGTGCTGACTATAAGAAAATCTCAGAGGTGCTTATTGAAAGTACACTGGGTTTATTTCCAGTCAAGTGTAACATCAAATGTGTAGAGCTCCTTCAGCTTTCCCACTCAAGTAATTTTGCCATTGTTATTTCTTCATCATTCCCATCAAAGGCACAAATTTCTCCCCCCTAATGTCTGTGCAGTTTGTCCTTTGATTTCAAAGGAAGAACACATATGGTTTTGGAGGTGAATGTTTCATCCAAGGACAGTGAAGGCTTTTGTGCTGGCTCTGAATATTGCTCACTTACATAGCTAAGATGTGCATTTTCCAGCCTGGATAAATGAGGGAAAAATTTATTTGCTTCACTTACTTTTACTTTTTTTTAAATAATAATTTTTCACTGTGATTTATATATATACATACATATATATATATACGCATATATATATATAATATAATTATAGATATTAAATATATTATATATATATTGTGTGTATATATATAATATGAATAAATGGGGAAGATTAGAGTCCCTGGTTTGGCACAAACCTTCTTAGGCAAATCCATAAGTTTTCAAGTGTCTCATTTATGTTACTTGCAAAAACTGAGTTGAGCTGTTTGTTCATTTCAATTACAAATAGGTCAGGGGCTGCCTGATGCAAAGTTTTGTTTATGAAATGTTCTGTGATACCACTGCATTTTTTGCTGAAAGTGTTTTTTTCTACTGGAATGCAAATATTAATTTATATTTTAAATTAAATGTGTTTAAATCCTTCAACATGAGGATCTAGGACAGTTCACAAATGGAAGAATCTATGACTTACCCATGCCTTGATTAATTTTAATTATAGCTATTTCTTAATTTTGAGTTCTCTCACAATTAGGAAAAATTTTGCTTCTAATGAAGACACAACTGCTCAGCTAGAATGGGATTATGGTAATTATTAGAGTTGCAAAGAAATTTGTTTCATAAGCTCATAGAAGGGTTAGTTATCTGACCAAAAACAAGATAAATGCAGTTGGTGCTAATTAAAGCAAATAGACTAAGGAATAAAAAAGATTCAATTCTGAATTTATGAATATCATTAAAAGCTGACATGGTTAGTTTGACTTGCATTTTGTGCATTGTTGGGAGAAGAAAAAGTGTTTGCATTCATAAGACAAGTAGAAATAAGAAGTGACCTTCAACTTTGTTAATTCTTTAAAACGAAACTGTTTTAAGGGAATAAATGTGGCTAAGCCTTTAATGCAGGCCTTTGGCAAACCACAAATGGTTAGTAATTAGCTCTACTGTATTGGATTAATTAATAAAAGGTAGATTAAAGTAGGCAAAAAGCATATTTGTCCATTACAGTGATGATGGAAGTTATGATAATAACACAGCACTATTCCTTTTATCTCTCCAAAGAGCTCTATTAACATCATATGTTTCTTCTCACCAGCCTCCCTGTGATGTGAATAGAAGTGCTGCTGTACAGGTGACAGAAAGGAATGTTTATCACTAAACAGCAAGTGGAATTAAAGGCAGTGTGCTGAGGGCAAGGGCAGGCACCACCAAAGTACAAACATGAGTAAATGTGCTCCCCCAGCCAGGCAAAATGTCCTGTGCCACCAGCCAGCTGTTGTAGCCCTGTGCTTTGCCTCTGGGATGGAGCTGATGGCTCAGGGGGCTGGCAGGGCACACCACACAGTCCTGTGTGCACCTTCCCAGAACGCTGCTCCTGCTCTCCTCAGCAGCCACCCAAAGCTTTAAATCTCAGTTAAATGAATGTATTGCCAGGAGTAGGTGTGATGGCAGAGGGGCTGGCTGGGCTCTCACTGCACCAGCAGGCTGGTGGACTCATGGATGATTGCCCAGCATACCAATAAAAGCCAAAATCTCATCCCTTCTCAGAATTCCTGCCTTATTCAGGGTAGGGCAAACCCTGAGGTTTTGGCCTTCCTCTTCGTTTCTTTCTTGGTTTAGAAACAAGACATTCTCCCACAGCAGTGGAAATAGCTTCCTATAGAGCTAGAAAACTAGGAATGTCATTTTCATAATCTGTCCTCATTTTGTATTTGAGCTCAATGATTAATAGAAGCCATGGCAATGATTTTTATAAGACCAATATATCTAAGAAATGTTTTAAAAAATGTTACAGATAGTTATAAATAACATACTTTCTTCTTGAATTCCTTATTTCTCTAATATTTGAATAATAAATAATTACTGCAGTAATTGAGCAAGCATTACTAAAAATAACTAATCTTTCATGTTCATATTTTTATATGACCTTTATAATTTTATGTATAATGGTATAAACAGAGATCAAGTGAATCTGGAATAAATCTTAGACTCACTGATAGAGGGGAATAGATGTAAGTTTGTATGAATGAGCATGGAGCATATTGAGGACAAGAGGTTGTTCTGAAAGGCCTCTGGGCACAGAAGCAGGTTTCTTTGGATTCTCAAGGTTTGGCAGCTCCAAACAGCCTTGGACTGGAGTAAATGGATGAAAACTTGGCTGATGATGCTCAGAAGGCTGACATGGTGGGCATGGCTGTTAGTGACATATAGATATTCTGCTTGCATGCATAGAATGGGTGTTAATTGTAAGTAATCTAGAGAAACAGATTAAGAGCCACTGCTAAGGGAAATATACATACTTAAATGCAAAAAAATTTCCTAAGGATGAGATGAACTGCAATAAAACCACGTCTTCAGCTAGAAAAAAATCAAGGTAGCATCAGTGATTTCACATTAACAACCTGGAAAGTTCTGGGCATTGAAAGAGTTTTGAATCTCAAATTACAGCAAAGCAAATCCTAATGGAGTTCTGTAGTGTAAAGGATAAACTGATTGCATGTTTCCTCTCCACCCACCCATCACAATTGAATCAGCAGTATAAACAAGTTACTTATTTCTCAAAAGTCACACATACTGTGTAAAAGAGATTAATATAAAGTAAGAGGGAAAAAAATAAAATGAAAAATAGTCAAATAAGAGAACAATCTGCTTCCATTTAAGCTGGTGTAACTCCATTGCACTGACTGTGTTTATACCAGGGGAGTTCAGATCAGCATTCACTTCTTGTCCTGGAGATTGGATTTATCTCCCACAGCTTTTATTTCTGTTCATTTCCTGAGCTGCATGCTGTTGTGCCTCTTTCTTCTTTTAATAATTTGTTTCACAATAATACTTCAGAGGCACACCAACTAAAATGAGGAAAATAAGAGAGTACAGAACTCATAATTGAAGCATATTTTTCCTCTCACTTCAAAGATTTGCATGCTGTTAGTGTTACCACAAATGTAACTCAGCCTAATTTTGATAACAGTGGTGCCTGTTTAATCTGAGAACAGGGGATTCTCCTTTGGAACAAGATTTCAAAAGCATTTTCACCTTCTACTTGTATTGCTCTGTGGTCAGAAAGTTCATGACATTTTAATTGCTAACAAGTGGAATGTTTTTGTTTAGAGTGATCTTTACCTATCTTCTGGATAGCTTAAATGTTTTTTTCTTCAGTGCTTGGATGTGAATCACAGAAAAATAAATAATTATTTCATTTTACAGCAATTCAACCCTAGGAAATTTTTGCCTTTATGAGGAGTTGAGACAGTTCTGTTGTTTCTGACTTTTTTTTCCCCACCACATTTTTTTGCAGAAATATTTATAATTAATTGCATTTTTAAAACTGTCTCAATTTAGATGTTTACCCAACTACTGTGAACATGGAGGAAAATGCTCCCAGTCCTGGACCACCTTTTACTGTGACTGTAACAATACAGGCTACATGGGAGCCACCTGTCACAACTGTAAGTAAACCCACGTGCAGTTTTCATTTGTGTTATGTCCACATCATAATCACAGTGGTCATTAGATGTTAAGTAGAATTTAGCTGGGCTGAGCTGGCTGATTTTAATCTCTATTTGGTGCTTTAATTTTACCACCCTGGGCTTTGTTTTTAGATCATATGAAAGTCCAAGTTGCAAGAACCCAGTTTCTGACAGTTTATGATTTTGAAATTTTGCTGAACTATTTTTTTGGGCTGCTGCTATTAACAAGAATACAGAAATATTCAGCTACTGAAATACACAGCAAAAGGAATATTAAGGTGTTTTAAAGGTTAACAAGCCCCCATCATATAGTAGAGGCACAAAATGCTGTGAATTCTGGTAAAAAATAGAGAAAGGAAAAGCCAAAATAAAGCCTCTTCATACAGCTGACAAAAAGGGAAAATAATAAATTAAGGTAATCTTCCAGTTCTAACAAAGGAAGTAAAGAACAAAAAACAGTGAGTAAGAATAACAATTCCAGGAATACAAGTGTAACCACTCTGGATGCTTGATGAGCACTTGGACCGCAGATAGGATGACATTGGTGTGATGATTTTTTTTTTTTTTTCTCTGTTAAACTAAAAAGCAGAAGAGAAGGTACTTAGTGGTTTGAAGCTGAGAATATTGGCAACCATACTGTCATTTTGGAGACTTTAATGGTTTGCTAGTTAACAGTGAAAGCATTTGTGGGGTATGCAGCTGACAAGAGAGTCTGTTGAGAGATCTGTTCATAGATTTGTCACCTGAACTCTGCATTGTAAACACAAAGGAAGCCAAGGGTTTTGTGCAGAAATCATGCCAAGCCAGATGAAGAGAGGGAACAAAAAGGCTGATTTTTTAGTTCTGAAAAGAGGGCTTACTTCTGTCCATTGTTTTTGTTGTTCCAAAAGGCATTGCAGCTCTTCAAAGCTGGTAAGGCCATAGCAAAGTGATGCCTGGTACAGAACTAGGTGGCCAAATCAGGTGGTGACAAGGGAGAGGCTCCTTGGGGACAGAAGAGAACTGTCACTATTGACTGTCAAAGGTGATTAGGGACACTCAACTCTGGGCTGCATCTGTGCTGTTGTATTTGCTTGGGACCTGAGGCTCACTATGTCTGTGCCAGCTCAGTGTGGCTTCTGTCCAAAGGAGACCATCTCATTACCACAGAGAATTGGTTCATGCCTAGTTTTCCCCACAGACAGTTCCATGCAGCTAGTGAAGCCTCCTGCTTCTGTCAACTCGTGTCTGCACTTCAAAGGCACATACATAGCTGCAGCTATTTGAGGTTCACTGATGTGATACTACTCTGAAAATTTTCTCAGAAAGCTGTTGTGTTAAGCTGTGCACACCTGTGATGCACAGTATTCACCTGCTCAGCTTATTTACAACGGATTTATCAACAGCTAATTTGATTCCAGCTAGATTGTGGAGCCAGCTACTCTGTGAGCCAAGCAGTACTGATAAACAGCAACATTAGTCTGGAGAAATGCATTCATCTACTTGAAATATGCAGTGAAACCAATTCAAAGCCGGTGGGCAAACACAGACTCTTGATAAGAAACTTGTAGAACAAGAGACGTTATCACTTTCAGCTGATAGTGGTTGATGTGCAGGAGTCCCTTTTAGAAGGTGAATGAAAGGCACAGATTTGATCTCAGCGTAACTCCAGAATATCCTCAATGTATAGGAAACTCTCCAATCTTGTAATTCAGTGTACTTCTATTAAAGTAAAACATCTAATTTTGTATGGTTTGAAACATTACCTCAAGAGATTTTTATTTTTCTAGAACACTGATTCTGACAGGCCTGAAATTGAACTTATACCACTTTGGAGAGGCTATTTCTTTTATTAAACTGCCCTTCAGACCCAAATCCATGCAGCGGCAAGGGAAAGATTTAGCTGACAATCTGCTGCAAGCAAAACAGTGTGAATTGTTTCTGTGTTGCCTGAATTTCTTTTTTGTCTGAGTTACATCACCATAGGTTTTACCTCATTTTGGTGTGGTAAGAGGTGCATGCCACTGGTTGAAAACCATAAAAAGACCCATTCTTTGTCATGCTTTTAGGAAGAACTGCATGGCATGCATCTGCAAGGCAGATTTAATGGGTTTATGTCTTACTGCCTCAGACTGGGAGATCTTATCATTTTAAGAATTGAGATCTTGAGAGAAATTGCCCCTTACTGTCATCAAATATGAAGTGTTGAAATACATTTTATGGTTGGTACATAAGCAGTCTTATTTTTAGTTCCAAATCTTCCCAGACCACACTGGATCCTGCTGTGGAGGAACAGCTAACAATGCATACTATCTCTTCTCCAAAGAGTTTGCAGTTAAGTTTCTGAAGGTATAAAAACATGCTGGCACAGGTGATGGAATGCCAGAAAGGCTTCATCAGCATCACAGGTGGCAGTTTCAGTCTGCCAGGTGCATAATTATTTCTAGGCTTTCCTTTAGCAAAATAGTCACAAGGTAGAGATTAAAAAGAGGAAGAAATTGAGTGCTTGCAGACATGGAGTGACATGGGAGAAAGCAATAATGTGCTTGTTTGGAAAATTTAAGGCTATGGCCAGAGGAGTTTGACATTTTTGACAAGGCAAATGTCAGAGTCATGACAGGTAAAGAGTTTGGAAATGTGCCATGAAAAGCAAAGATAAATAGTTTGCATTTGATGCAACATAAGGGAATTAGACAGTGTCAGAAAAGAACAGTAAGTTGATAGAAGACACAGCTGGGACAGTATTTGCAAGACCATGTCAGATATGTGGGACAAAATTGTGTCTGGCATGTCTGAAAATGGGTAGTTAAAATTCAAGATGTGTGGATGAAGCAAAAGCGTGCATCTGAAGAAACATGGAAAGAACAACCTGGCTCTAGACATGGCCTTAACATAATTTTCCTAGAGGCAGCTACTTGCCTGCACACCTCAGGTATCCTGTTCACTCCAAACCCCTTCTGATCCTGAAAGCTCCTAAACTGTCACAGGATGTTTGGCAATCTGCCTGGTCCAGATGAGGGTCCACTACAGAAAAGGGTGTGGTCCTGTCCCGTTTAAGTGTTAGTTTGTGGCAGACAAGACTGAAGTGTTATCTGGTCCTACTTCCATTCTCCTCTTCTCTGAACTTAACTGTAAATGCAAGTAAAATCTTGCTAAAACCTGTATATGTTTTCTGGATTTCACTAGTCTCGGTGTTTTGTAACAGGTAGTTTCTTGCAAAGCTTATTGCTTGATGCATAAGCACATTTCTTTGTTTAGTAAGTTAATCCTCTTTTGCTAGCTGCCACATGGAATGTTACTGATGCCTTTCAAGTCCTTTGTTGTTGTGGTTTGTTTTGGCTTTGGGTTTTTTCCCCTTTTGGATTTACCTCTCATCATTACATCTTCCGGTGCAATTCACATCTTCTCCCTGGCTAGTCACAGCACTGACGAGCACTTATGGTTCCATCTCTATACTCTCTGTAGCTGTGAAAACCCCAAAACACATTCTCTGTCTTGCTCTCACAAATGCATCTGGATGTGCAATTTCATGGTAAGTGTAGAACTGGTGCTGACTGTCTCCAGATGCCCATTTCATTGCCCAGAGTGTGGGGAAACCAGGAGTCATGGAATAACCCTAATAAGCCAACTGTTGATGATTTACATTTGATTATGTAAGTGTTTTGTTGTGCCTTAGTTTCTCCACCTCTGTTGGAAATAGGATCCTTTTTGCAGATATATTAAAAGGTGTGTGATCTATATCATCTACTGAAATTGTGTGGGCTTTCCTTTGGAACTTATTGCTATTTGAGCTTATCTGTAGCTGAGACCGTGCTTTGAGGATACAATCACATTTCAGTCTCTAAAATGTATGGTTTTGCTTTTTGCTTTATCTTTTAAATGTTCTTTGCATAGCTTACATTTAGATAGGTTGGAAGATGAGCTCAGCTGAAGCCTTTTGGCAATAGATACTTTCCCAGTTTCTCCAGTGTGGTAGGTAGCCTGCTGATCTGTCAGGTATTGGAGTAGTCTGATAAAATCCAGCTAGGAGAGGGTCCATTATGTAATCACATGTGTGAACGATAGCAAACCAGATAATAATGTAATGTTCATTTTCTCTTTTCCTCCTGTAGATACAAACACTGATGTTAGTACACAATGTGGGGAAAAGCCTGGGTGAGATTCAGCTAATCTATCTCTTCTGTCTGGTACTGTGACATCCAGTTAAGATAGTGGTCTGGTCTCTCCCTATATGTAAAAAGGAGTGTGAGCTGCTTTCAGAACTTAACTAATCTCACTGTGAGATAGGGTGTCCATGGTAAGGTCATGGAACACCTCTGAAGTCTGTCATCTGTAGAGGAAGGCTGTCCTAGCTTAGACATAGAGGTGGCATCTAAAGGTAGGTCAAAATTATAGGTGGGAAGAGAGATTGAGGGAAACTTAGATAAGTGAATTACAGATCTTAATTTATATCTATCTATAGCTATATCTATGTCTATATCTATCTATATAAGTTAATATATGCATTAATTGAAAGTGCATAGTTTAAAAGCTGCATAGTCATTCCTCTCATATTATTAATTTCTGTAATTATCATCTGATAGTAAGAGCAGTAGACCAGTGTAAAATGGCCCTGAGATACAGAATGTTATAACTTTATTGCAAGATAATGATTAGTAATCTTATCTTTCTGTGAGTTATCCTAGTCCCTTAGAAAGCCTCATCTTGCCCTTCTGTATTTCTGTTATTTTTATTTATGATAGTTTTCAGGTATTTTTTAGTCTTGCATGATTTTTTTTTTTAATTCCAAAGAGTGCTGAACATTGATGTAAGAGATGTTGAGAAATATAAAATAATTATTTTATTCCTCATATTCTAGGGTTGTCAACATGTCCCAAAGCTTTGCAAGGTGATAATTAACAGAATGTAATTTAATTCCGGGTATTTGCTTTGGTGTGTGATCTATCTCACGCATACAGGCATATGTCTTATTGGCCTAGGTAATTGCTGGAGGAAAGAGT